TTTGCTATCAAGGCCATTTCTCTCTTGGCAAAGCTACAGGGGACAAGAGGGAATGAAGCAGTTAAGTGTGTGTGGAAAAGGTTATTCCTGGGAGGGTTCATAGGTATCGGCAATTATAACAATTCTGAGTAGATTGTTATTTTATATAATTGAGAGCAATGAAGCAAAACTGTTTTTTAAGACACATATGGGATGACCAAGAACAGGCCCCTGGAGAGGAGCTCTGCGGGGAGACACAGGACGGCGCTGGCCGCCTGGAGGGAGGGCTGGCTTTCCCTGCTCTCTCTGTGCCTGATCAGGGACACGCAGGGTATCCTGATGCCCCTTTCTAGGCCTCAGTGTTCCTGTGCTAGAACGGGTTGTGGGGTGGTGTTAGGAACTGAGTGTGTACCCCTCCCTCAAACTCATATGTTAAAGCCCTAACCCCCAAGTGCAACTGTATTTGGAGACAGGATCTGTGAGGAGGAGATAAAGGTTAAGTGCAGCCTTAAATGTTGGGGCCCCAATAAAAACAGGAGACACCAGAGCTCTCTTTGTTCCACATGAGGGATCAGAGAGAAGGCAGCCATATAAGAGCCAAGAAGAGGGTTCTCCCCAGATACCCTCAAGCTGGGCAGAATCTTGACCTTGGACTTTCCAACCTCCAGAAGCGTGAGAAATAAATGTCTGTTATTTAAGTCTACAGTATTTAATTACGGCAGGTGAGACAGATGAACACAGGCAGTAATGACTAGCTAATTAAAATAATGATTGACAGGTTACAGAGTACTGTTAGAAATATTATCTCAGAGAAACTCTAGGAGGTAGAAAGGGCAAAGTTTTATTTTACAAATAAGAAAATGTACCTCAGACAGTTTCAAGGTCACAAGGCTACCAAGTGGAATTCAGTCAGACTGGAGACCTGGGTCTCTAAAGGCACCTTTGGTTGTAAATGGTTGTGGTTTTCTTGTTTTCAGCATTATTATGTTTGATGTCTATGAGTTTCTGGTTTTAGATTTCTAGGTAGTGAATGCCCAGTTAAATAATGTCAAATTTATCACAAGTCATACATGTATGTTTTTTCTCTTTAGAACTGCAGTAATGATCTCCTTTGACCCCGTAGTTCTCCAAGTGTGGTTCAGCAGTGGCAGCCGGGGACTTCGGCACACCCTTGGGCCCTGCCCCATCCCACGGAACTGGAAACTCCAGGGGTGGGGCCCAGCACTGTGGGCTCTAAAAAGCTGTCCAGGGGATTCTGAGGCCGCCAACATTTGCCCCTGCTCGCATCTATATTCACTGACTTGTTCCCCTTATAACCGGCTGACATTCGACATATTGCACTATAGGATGTGCAGCTGCACATATAACCAACTAGATCTACCGCATACTATTACACCCACTTTTAAAATGCTAGAACCTGTAAGTATACCCTTCATATAATCATAAGATTCTATAATTTCATGTTGGCCTTTGTCACCTCTTTTGTCTACTTGAAAATTGGAAACATTTTAGAAAATAAAACTCTTTACGTCCAGCATATCATAAACCTTAAATTAAGTTGACGCTAATTAAAAATAGTAATTTAAAATATAGCAAATTTATTATTTATTCAAAGTTATTAATGTTTTTAATCTCTTACTCAAGATGTCTGGCCATGTCCGTCTGTGCTCTCACCCTGGAAATCTCAGTAACTTCATAGGAAATTCCTGTGTACATGAAACCTATTCTTCAACAGGATCTGGCCTCCTCCAGTCAGGAGAAAATATTTTAATAAATAATAAAAATGACCCAAAATATATATTTAATTTTTTCTTTTAATATTTATTCTAGAAAATCTAACATAAAATTCATTAATTGTATGTATTATAATTTATATATAGTAACTATATTTGTATATATAATTATAATAACAGTATATGTATTTTATGTCAAATGTCTAGACTTTAATCTGTTTCCTTTGATTACTTTCCTAGGATTGGGAGTTTAAAAATTCTAGGGATTTCTGGTAGAAGATATGGACACTGATGCCAATGTGATACATTTGTATTTCAACGACTATGTGTGTCTGTGATAATGTTATATGACACCTATTAGTTTAGGACATCAACACTAATCCAAGAATTTTCTGGAATGGTCTATATGCATCCCAAATAAATTTATGCCAATAAAATTTCACGAAGAGAGAAGCACAAATTACTATTTAACAATAAAACTGTAGACATTTCCAAACCTTTCTTGTGTAGCAGTAACACAGAAGTAACCTTTTATCCCCTTGAACGTTCAGGGGCAGCCAGGGAGAACAAAATGCACATACTCTTGTGCTGCTTCTGTTATTAATTTGCCTATGTAAGCAAAATTGTGGGTTTTCCGTGGAAGCACAAGACCTGCAAATCATATGACTAATAAAATGACATATATCTTGCAGAGCATTTGTAGATCAGCAGCTTCTGAATGACAGATTGGATGAAATTAGCAGACTTCTGCCCATCACAGCCTCCAACTATTCTATTTATCTTCTTTAGATTTTCTTTTGGCACTGTTTACTAAAAGAGCTATTTGCAATTATACGAAGATTGACTTAACACATTTCTACCATGTTTTTGAAAAGGATAGGAATAATACATTGAATGTAAAGATTCCTCCCCAAATAGTACGTGAATATATAATATATATAATACAAAATATAAAATACATAAATATATAATATAGAAGATACACTATATTGTATATGTATAATATATAAATATATAATATCTATGAGATAAAGCAATATTAAACATGTATTTTATATATATTTTTAACATAGACCTTTTAAACTGAGGAAGAAATTTTTGTAGTATTTGAAGACTAATTAGAGCGCTTGCCCACAGATTTTATTGCAGGTATCAATAATGTCATTGTTCTGACCTAGGATTTACCCACAGTATCAACACTAAATACCCACCCAGCAAAGAAAGAACTCCTCTTATAACCAACAGCAAACCCCAGTGCCAAGTCATATTCATAATTACTCATCTTTTCAAACATCTTTGACATGAATGATTCAGCAAACCTGGGTCACTGCCAGCTGGTGCCAACTGGCAGAATGGCAATAGTAAACAATTCTGGGCAAACAATGACTGGGCAAATAAAACTCTCCCAGGTATAGATCCCAGGTATCTGATCCAGGTATAGAAAGCATTATTTTCTGAAGAAGCAGTAAAGTATGTTGTCCTTCTCTTTCTTTCTTCCTTTCTTCCTCTCTTTCATTTTTAAAGAGATTCCATAGCAGTTAATAAAATGTGTTTAGGCTTTATGAAACATACCATGAGACCATGACTATAAGATAAAAAGAATCATGACTTCCTTGGACTTTCCACTCTGAAGAGTTCAATGTGTACTTTTATAGTTTTTGTAACCCCCAAATTCAGTTAAAACAGAAAGAAGCTTTAGGAAAAAAAAGAAAGAAAAGAAAAGAAAAGCTGCTTTGGGGTAGGATGAAACTAAAGAAGTGAAAAAAAGAGTAAAGAGTTTACATTCTACATCATTAAGAAAGAAATTAAATAACCTTTTGTTTTAATAGAGAATGTGTAAGCATGTGTATTCTCGTAATATACTGGATTGCATTTTACTAGTTTGTTCACCAGGTGGGTCCAGTCTTTTGATCAAAGTGCCAGCCTATAGGCAGGATGTATGGAGATGGAGATCATATGCCCCGCCTGATAATTCTGGCACAGTGAAAACGAGAACTAATAGCCCGGTGGAGTTCTCGGGCTATTTACCATATTACCATATTTACTAAACTGACAATTTGGCACGAGGTAGAACTATGGTGGTTCTACCATAGTGTATGGTAGAACCATACACTCTCCACCCCTCTGTTTTACTCAGGAGCCGGAGAGTGAAGATAAGGCAAGAAAAACATGGAGGTAGTTTGGGGGAGCCCTGTAAAACCGACATATTCTGCACCTCCCATTGGGCTGCTTTATTTGGCCAGTATTCTGCAAAGATCATTTCACTTCAGTTACCTCAGTTATTCCAGGTCTAACAAGCAAGCCTCTAAGTCAACTGTTTCTGGTTGCTATTTCCTAATGGCCATTTTCTTTTTCTTTTTTCCAGAAATACACACAATTGCTCCCTTAATGCCATCACCATAAACAAAACAAACTGCACAATTAGGAAATTTTCCAAACTCAACTTGCCTTTCTGTAGCTTGCTTTCTTTCTAACCTCTTCATCTGCTCATATTTATCTCCACCTGAGTTCACATCACCCTCAGATTCCATGCCACTTACATATTAAATGAATGTGCAGTTAGCTTCTCTCCCCGATACTTAACGAAGGTGTTAAGGGCTAATGCCAATTCAGTGGCATGAGCTGGATACCTTCCATTACCTGGTGTGTCATTGTTTATGGTCTATTAAGCAGTTTTCATTTTACCTTATGGGCCCATATAAAATCCAAACTAGATGTTTCTCGAATTATAGGCAGTATTACAGAATATTAAAAGCTTCTTTTTGTTTTTAAAAATCATCTCTAAGTTTACTGAAGACTAGCTGATAACCTAAATTGGGAGATATATATATATATGTTATATATATAACATATATATATATAACATATATATATTTTAAACTTCTCAGTTTTTAAAAGTATTTTATCTCCCTCTTCTTAAGTCATATTTATTGTTTTACACTAATGGTAGAATTTCTCATTTTTAAAATAATATACTTTCTGGTTTTTGTTTAAATCTATTTTGTTTAAATCATGGTTGTTTTGATTCATTTTTTTAAGTGGGGCTTTTAATTTTCCAAAAGTTTTCTTATCTTGTTCTGCTTTATTTTTTATCATTCTTACATATAAAACATACATGCTGACATGCAAACGTTGGTGGATCAGAGGCATCATAGGAAGAGCTGAGTTGCTTTCAAAATCTATCCTGCTAAGCAGGCCTCCCTTAGGGCAGGGCTGAATGCTCAAAGGGATTCAGTTGTCAGAAATCTACAGTGCAACAGGCGAAAATGTATGCAAGCATTCACTTACCTGCTTTTGGTCAACAATTATTTCGAGGTCTTCGTCACTGCTTAGTTTTCCATATCCTTTTTCTTTACTTTTCTTGTGAAAGAATAATTTTAAATGATCATTTAGTTTCTTTTCATTAATAATCTTAATTCCTACTTAATACTTTTACAGGATAAAGTTTACTTAGCCTTGTTCACTAGTCATAATACGTCATTCTCTATGTCAGTCTTTCATGGGCATCAGCAAATGTTTTTATTGTTCAGCTGTTTGTTTATAATTATTCATTCTTTTTTCCTTAATGTCTTCCATACAAATTATGCCTTTAATCTTCTCTGAATATTGGTATGCTTCACTTTTTCAATTCTTAATACTGTAATATAAGTAATTTCTTCAAGAGTCTCAGTATAGTCCTGGCCAGGTAGCTCAGTTGGTTAGAGCATCGTTGTACCCATATGCCAAGGCTGTGGGCTCGATCCCCTGGTCAGGGCACAGGGCAGATAGAAGATTCGACCAATAAATGCATAATTAAGATTAACAACAAATTGATGCTTCTGTTCTCTCCTTCTCCCTCCTTCTCTCTTCCCCCCTCCCCCTGTCTCTAAAAATCAATAAAAATGTTAAAAAAGAGTGCCAGTACATTTTTCTTAAAGATTGAAACTACATTTAGTAATACTAAGTTGAAGACTTCAACTATTAAATACTGTATTTTAATTCCTTATGTATTTTTAAGAATAAGACACGCATTATGCAATTCAGATAACAAATCTTTAGATTTTATACATTTGCTTGGAATTAGATAAAAACTAACATTGTAAAAACAACTGAGAAATAATTTTAAAAAGATAAATAATTTTCAAAATTAGATAGTTTGAAAAGTTAGAAGAGTATAGACCATCTTTAAAATTGACTTTGTTGGCATTTTGTCATTTTTTCCCCCCAGTGACCATTCTCCAGCTACCTATCCCACTGAAAAAATTCTAACATTAGAAAAGGACATAGATCATGACAACCATTTTGCTGTTGTGTTTATAGGAGAAAGTCTATTTATCTGAATCTTTTTTTTTTCTTTCTCCTACTGCACCGGCTGATGGGAATGCCAGAAATGACACGTTTCTTCATAATTTCAGAAATCAAAGTACCTCTGTAGAGGACCAGTAACAAAAAGAAAAGAAAAATCACTATATAGTTAGCTTTAGTTCAAGGTTATTATTTTTGAAAAAACAATCTTTTCTCTAGGTATTAGCTACATTAACTAGTATTAGGGGAATTAAAAATATTTCTTATGTTTTCACCTACTGTGCCACATCAGAATTCCCGTCACACTGAGAGAAAAAACTATATCCTTCAGGGAACATGACACAAATCTGCTAATACTGTGGAACATGATTCTTAGCTGTTTTGCCCCATAACATTTCAAAAACAGACTTCCACATTTCCTCCCCAATAAACATACCTACTATTTTGTGTTTTTTTTGGTAATTAAGAGGTTTCTGAATCTTCAAGTATTGGGATGCGTAAATAAAATCTCATTCATATATTAATGAATTTAGCTACTTAGATCAGAACAGATGGTCACAGTATTCTCTCTGTTGTTATTCTTGTCCCCATTTGAGGTTCCATTTCAGGATTAATGGAAAACAAAAAGAACAAGGTGGTTTCAATCAAGCTGACTTCCTTCCTATCACTTTGCTTTTGTATCCTTTTAGTCCACTGGTTGCCATAGGATATTGTCCACAGAGCCTCTAATGCAAAACATTTAGAAATGCCTTTCCAAATATTGATCTGTATACGTACCAAGTAGCTCATTTGCATGACCCGATTGCTGGACAAAAGGACATTAAGTAGAGATGGAATGTGGGTCCTTCCATCCATTTCACTGTCAGACATCCCAGAATTCTTTGCACCAGCAGCAGTGGCTTCATTGCCAGAACTTGCTGACCAGAGAACCACAGATCTTGCCCAGCAATAATATTTATAATGTATGACAATAACTGAAGTATCCCTGAATCATTGTCTTAGCTTTGTAAACATTGTGAAAACTTAGGCTAGCACAAAAAGTCATTAAAAAAAATTTCTTCTTTTTTAACTAATTTTTATCCAAGCCCTTCTATGTTTCCTGACTAATGTTCTAGTTTAATGCTTAAAAAACCCCTATCATTAATTATGTACATTTTTATATTTCATTCCACAAATATGGACTACTTAGCGACTCAGTGTCTTTGTCATAAAAGCTCTCAGTTTTTCCTTTTTAATGATCTACCCCAGACTTCCTTGTGATTAGCAAATCACTGCTAACTGATAGAACATATGAAGAGCATTCACAGAACATAAGTCAAGGATGCAGTTTCTGCCAGTACAAAATTCCACTTTTCCAATTTAATCCCAACTCCTTATCTGATAAAGCAGTAAACTTTCCTGGGGAGAGGCTAGGTCAGGGAAGGAGATTATAGCCCCAACTACTGTAAGTAGAAGTTGGCATTTTCCAAAAGTGGGAGGATGAATTTACAGCTCTGATTCTGTACTTAAGCCACTAGTCTCCAAATAGCACACAACTGTACACAGAATCTTTACAGTTTTACTCAAGAGTTAAGCAATATTTTCTAGTTCACCCCATAAACCCAGGGCGATTAAGTCTTTTCTAAACCGTAATGGTTGTTCGCTCACTTACTGCTTATGTCTAGGGCGAGCATAATCCTCTTTCAAGCACTCAGCTCCCACTTTGACTGCTTAGATCAGCCAGCTCAGGCAGCGATCTTCAGCTCTCCTCCCTCCTCCCAGCTGGGGATCCCTGTCTTCTATCTATGCACTTTTGTCAAGCACAAAAAGCAACTCCAGAGCTTCTGCGTGTTCTTTCACATTAGCCAAAGGACTGAACTAGAAGAAAGGAAACTAAACTCTCCACTGTCCAGGCGAGAGGAGGAGGCAGGGCTTCTGTGGGAGGAGAAGCCAGAGGGTAATCACTTCCTGTGCTCCTCCCACCTCCCTGGGTGGACAGGGGAGCTGAGGATTTCAACTGAGTCAGGGATGACTGGCCCCTTTCCACCTCAGCCTCAGCACGCTGTCTGCTGAGAGCTGATTGTGTGCCCTGCCTACCTAAGTGCAGTTGATGAGGAAGCATCAGTGCAGTGGAGCTAAAACGGGGAAGACTTTGAGGTAGGGAAAGTGAGAAAAGAGACAAATAGTCATCGTTTGCCGACACGGCCTCATTCCCTGCAAGAAGCTTGCCACAGAAGATAAGTGGCCCATCTCTGAAAACCTAAACACAGTATCTCACATCTTCCCCACATCATCCCCAATCCTTTGTGAATAACTGGAAGGAGGATTGTCTAGTCTTTTCTTAGTGCTAATAACTTTTTTAATACCGCTGAATCAGATCTGTTTTTTCCTTAAGAGCATTGAGCCTAACTGCTAAGCTTTCTTCTCTGCAGACATTCCACTGTCTTTCCTTAACCCTTTTTACTTCTTGCTTCTCACCCCTCATTCTCTTCTCCACAAAAGTATGTTTATTCACTTGAATTAAATAAACCATAAAACTTGGAAATTGTAGAGGGAAACAATGTATGGCTGTAGATATGGAATGTATTATGGAAGAAAATTTTGCATGTAACAACAAAACAACAAAATCTGATGGGATAGAGACCTGAAAAATGAAGCACTCTATGTTCAATTGTAGAATCAGATTTTATTAGACTATAACAGTATTAATTGAAAGGTACTAATTGTGTCTGGTTTGAACTAAAGGGATTCTTCATATTCATTAGGAATAGAATATATGAAGGATATTTTGAAAGGAAAAAGGAACACATGATTTAATTAAATGTACAAATTAGCCTGAAATGCAATTTTTGCCTCACTACAGATGTTAAAATAAATGTAAAGGTTAAAGATTATACGTAGATGTTTAAAAAATTGTTTTACTCTAATTTATTTAATAGTGCAATGAATGATAAGTGGTAGACCTAAATTTATTAAAGCAAATGTTATGTGGAAACTATACAAACAAAAGTACAGGGACCTTCGTACTCTCTTCTTTGTGGTTGTTAATACATACTCAGTTACTATCTCCTCATTATCCCCACCTTCACTCCCTTCTGAAGGCTGCAAAATTGCTTCGTTTCCCCTGTCCTAAAAGATGACCTCCTCACTTCTGCTTTCCCTTCAAGTAGTGATTTTCAACCTTTTTCATCGCATGGCATGCATAAACTAATTATTAAAATTCTGTGGCACACCAAAAGTATATATTTTGTCAATCTGACAAAAAATAGGTATAATTTTGATTCATTCACATTGGGCGACTATTGTTGTATTCGCTGTTGTGGTTTTTTAATTTGACAATCTAAGGGAAAAGAGGTCGGTGCTCCTGAATAAAATATTCAGGTATTGCACACTTGAAAAATTCTTGTAGGGGTAGGGAGATAGAGAGGGAAAGAAGAGGAAAGGTCTAGTCAAGGAACAGGTATAAATGACCCTTGGACATGGACAACAGGGTAGGGATTTACTGAGGGGATCAGCGGGGTAGGGGAGAGCAATGAAGGAAGATGGGCACAACTGTAACAGAACAATTAAAAAAAAGAAAAAATACCAATGGAAAAAAATAAAAAATAAATAAAAATTCTTGCCTCTTAAGGCACGCCTGTTGAAAATTCCTGCCCCAGAGCATTCATTTAATCCCTCAACTCTGTACTGCCAAGCTTGGGAGAGCGGTCCATTCTTACTAGCAATAGTTCCTTTCTCTTCACTCCTAAACCAATCACAATCAGGTTGCAATTGACTGTAATTGCATTCTTGACAGTCACTAATGGACTGCTAATTATCAGATTCTCGAGCAGTCCTTTTTTAGAGCTAATTGTATGAATTAGCCCCAAATGCAGTTTGTGATTAATGACGGATGTCAAAATAAATGCAAATATTATTTCTTTCAGTGGCCAAGTTTGTATGAAGTATTTTTTAAAAATGTCTTTGCTATTATTTACACTATTATGGCTATTAAATGGTGTTACAACCAACTGAATAGAGTATCAGAGAGGAGGAAGAGGAATTGGGAAAGGAGATGATGTGCTAAGGATATACTCCCTGAGTTTGTGGTGTCTTTGGAAAGTTCATCTATGGGGAAAGATCCAGTCACCCCTTTGGATAGACACATGTATATCTTAGAGAGAGGAGAGATAAGGCAGGACAAAGCGATTGCTGGAGGTAATAAAAATTGGAGGCATGGACAAGCTCATTAAGATGAGGACTAAGACCAGAGTCCTGGAGCATGTTACATTTAAAGAATGGGTCCAACAAAAGAACCCAGTGAAGGAGGCTGAGTAGGAGTGATCAGGATACAGAGAGATCTGATCAAATCACTGGGGAGGGGTTGTAGAAGGAGGTTGCCTGAGGCAATGATAAACAGTATTGGGTGGGATTGGCTCTCAGGCTCTCTTCCTTGAGGATGCCTGATGACCGTGTGGCAGCTGCCTGTGTTTCCCAAAGGACAGTATTTTGGCTGGGAGAAGAAAGCCTGGGCACAGCCTCGGATCAGGCTGACCTGGCGGGGGGGTGGGGGGCAGGGCTATTCTTCTTTGGGTGTTCTAGTGGGGATGGGTTCTGAGGCAGAAGCCTGCCAGTCTTCAAAAATAATTAACAACTAACAGGGTGAACTATAGGTGAACTCAGGTGTTAAAGATTTATTGATAGGCTCAGGTGATTAAAGCTGTAAGTGACTAATATATGTGGAAAGCTATTATTCCAAAATTGTGTAGCTTTTGACTAAAGACTCCTTTTCTGTATCATTCAACCTTTGCCTCCAGCATTTTGTTGAGAGGGTGGTGGCGGGCAGCAGGACCCCACTTGCTGCTTGGTAACAGTCATAGGTGTAGGAGAAGGACCAGGAGAATGCAGTCAAAGGAAAAAAGAGTTCTGGATAGTGTCAAATGCTCATGAAAGGTTAAATAAGGATGTGCACAGCAGACTTCTGTTGTATTTGGCATTTTGGAAGTCATCAAGGACTAGGAACAGAAGAATTCATGAAGATGGAACCAAGATTAAATTAATGAATGCAATGGCAGTAAGGGAGTAAAGACAGTGAGGGAGAACTTAGTTTCCCTTAGGAAAGCTTGAATAAAAAGGAAAAGAGGGAAAAATTTGTTAAGATGTAGGTCTCATGTGAAGTGTTCTTACCATAGTTTAAAAAAAAAAAGGAAAAAGAAGAAAGAATGTTAGTGAAAAGACAAAAAATACAGGGAGAGAATGCTGTGAGCATTACTATAGTCCCTCCCTAGCCCTCTTATGTAACGTTATTGAGTATGTGTATAGTCCAACAAGAAACTGATGAAAAAAGAAGTGAAAATGTAGATGCCAGAGGGTAAGGAAAGATAATTATGAAGCAAGAAAGTAAGGACAAAGTCCTTTTAGAGAAAAACTGCATGTCTCTCTTTTAAAGTATACAATTATGTGATATATATATATTTATAGAACAAAAATCTAGAAGGATATACACCAAATATTAAAAGTCCTTTTCTCTAGGAGATGAAATTATGTATGCTCCATGTATTCTCTTTATACTTGGGGGTACTTTCTGAAATAAGAATACATTTCTTTTATAATAAAAAGTAAACAAAATGTGATTCCTGGAGAGATCCATAAACTTGCCGTGGAGAAGACATTTAAAGTATATTTTGCAGAAAAATGTCTAGGTCAGGGTTTTACCTTTTATTATATTTCTGTGGGAATAAAAGCTTTTTTTTTAATGTAGAGATTCCTGCTACATTTATTGCTTATGTCCCTTGTAGCAAGTGTGTTAGGATGGTGGAGTGAATGTTTTGTTTATTGCATTTAATATGCCCCTTTCCTCTTGACTCTCTCATAATATTCAGTTTCTCAGTTCTCTGACATCCTTTTGGTGCCACACTGCTCCTCCCTTTATTAAAATGTGCACAGTATCAGCACAGGCACAAACATCGCTGCTGTAGGAGTCAAAGAAACAATGAAAAGAGAGACTGGGGAATAAGGGAGAAAGAGAAGTTTCTTCCTAAGGGCCTGGAATGAAAGCTTGAGAATTTGCCCTCTTTAGGACATAAACCTGGACTGACCTTTCACATAGAAAATCATCAGCTTACCAATTAAAAGGACAAATTTCAGATCCTTTATGTTTTTTACAGTTGGAGGAAATCAACTTTCTGTGGGGGAAAATATTACAGAGAATCATTTATAGAATGATTGTTAAGTCTGGCATTTTTCAAGAACATTATTTTTTTCTTTTTAAAAAACATTCGCAGTTGGGTTTTTCCCTCCAGCAGTGATCATGTTATAGTAAAACAAAACAGCCACAGGGTGCAATTTTTCAGTTTTGGGCCAGGCGTGAGCGAACATAATATATGGCAACCAAAGTTGGCTCTAAAGGTATATTGCTGGGTGGAAAAAGAAATATAAGGGCAACAAATATGGTGATGCATTCTGAACTATGTTTTAAGTCACATGCATATGCTCGTTTATTTAGTAACTTTTACTTTCAGGCTACATCTAATTAAGGAAATAGGTATTCTGATGACTTCTCGTTGGATAATAAAACGGCAGTGACACACAGTTCTCCCTGCAGCCTCACAGCCCCTCCTCAGTGCTGGTGTCCCTGTCTTCAGGGTGGCCCTTGGTCTGTAAGAGAATAACCTGAAGACTTTATAAAGTTATTAAGAGTGTTTTCTATTTTCCGAAGATGAGAATTCTCCAACCTAAATAGCCATTAAACTTACTCAATTTTATGTTGTTGTGCAATGGCATTTTCTTAAGTATACAAATGTATTATTAGGTATGTACCTTTTATATCTT